GTTAATTAGGTTACACTTAACCGTTTTCTTCACCTAGAGTATGTAATAGACGGCGGCTATGTCAGATTACGTAAATAGGACATGAACTGAGTTAGGTCAAAACATAATGTTTTGATAGGAATCTATAAGGCGCGCCTTTTAAGCGCCTTTGTTGCTCTAGATTTAAGCTAAAAGCGCACAAGGCGAGCGCCTTAGGAACTATACCCTCGCCTTGGAGGTTCATGGCAATAGACCCCTTGCCAGACCTCGCCTTGCGCCATGGCGAAGAAGGCGAGCGCCATTTTAAACACAGCTTCTGAGTGAATCATTGTAATTTTTGAATGGTCTACGAGCTCTATTCATGTCTAGCAATGTTAGTTAGTTGTAGATAAAATATCAAGACAAATGAGCACTATTGTTAGTTATATTTGATAATGTTTTCCAATCTACTGACCTTTCTTTCATGTCATCGGTCGTGTAGGTTAGCCGAAGCTGTTAATAGGACATTATTAAGCCATCTTTTAAAGATGTTTACTGCACTGGGAATATACGCGGAAAGCTTTGAGAAACCTTTCCTTGAATGCACTTCTGAGTTTTATGCTGCTGAAGGAATGAAATACATGCAGCAGTATGACGTTCCCGAGTACCTGAAGCATGTCGAGGTGCCTTGCATTACTTCATATAGTTTATCCTTAGATAAGCTACCATACATGTTCTTTGTTGATGTGGCCCCTCTAAGGTTTTTACTGGTGATTGGTGCAGGGAAGGTTGCATGAAGAGAATGAAAAATGCATACTTTACATAGATGCATCAACCAGGAAACCCTTGATATCAACTGTTGAAAAGCAACTTCTCGAGCGTCATATACTTGCTATCCTTGATAAGGTTTGATTCCTTTCATCCTTGTGGTTGCATATATTAGCAAATGTTTGTTTGCTCTACCCTCACTCTATCTCTGAACACATTCCAGGGTTTCACACCATTAATGGATGGGCGTCGTACTGAGGACCTCCAGAGGATGTACACCCTATTTTCTAGGGTCAGTGCACTTGAATCTATGAGGCAGGCGTTAAGTTCCTACACTCGGAAAACTGGGCAGAAGATTGTCATGGATGAAGAGAAAGATAAAGATATGGTACAAGCACTATTGGACTTCAAGGCTTCTCTTGACATAGTATGGGAAGATAGCTTTTGCAAGAATGAATCATTTGGCAATACCATTAAAGATTCATTTGAGCATCTTATAAATCTTCGCCAGGTATTGATATTTATTTTGTTGATTTTTGTCTGATCTTTTGCTAACAATTTTACTTCTATATAAAAGCTACGTACTGATTGTTGTGGAAGTGTCTACCTTATAATCTACAGTGTTGCAATCTGTGGAATTTATAGCAATGTTTATGTACTGTATTTACTATAAAAAATTAGACATTTTTGGGCACCGGGTATCAACATATATTTGTTTTAGGGATTCTTTTTGGGCGCTGGTTACAGTAGTGTTGTTACTAGTGTCATCTTAACAAAAAGTTCACATTAGCATTCTGCTCATTGTTCACCATATTATGGATGTTTCAAGTTTGCACGTTAGTACGTGCCTCAAATAATAAATGCTCCTTGGTCTGTTTTGCAGAACCGTCCAGCTGAACTTATCGCCAAATTTTTGGACGAGAAGCTCCGTGCTGGGAACAAGGGTACTTCTGAAGAAGAATTGGAGAGTACCCTTGAGAAAGTCTTGGTTTTGTTCAGATTTATCCAGGTTACCTCCGATTCTTTTACATCTACTACTGTGTTTGTCTATCTTAAGTAACTGCATTCAAGCTAGTGGATGGACTGAAAACATTTATATTAAGTTTTTGCTGAAGTATGTCTTTTTTTTTCTTGATTAAAGGGTAAAGATGTGTTCGAAGCATTCTATAAAAAGGATCTTGCAAAGAGACTCCTGTTGGGAAAAAGCGCTTCCATTGATGCTGAGAAATCAATGATCTCTAAGGTAATAAAAGGATCTTGCAAAGAGAGTCCTGTGATTCCCACTGATTTTCTGTTTCTATTTCGGTAAGTTCTTACCAACTGACCCAATCTTGGTGACACCTACAGCTCAAGACTGAGTGTGGTAGCCAGTTTACAAACAAGCTTGAAGGGATGTTCAAGGTTCTCTTTTCTTTCTCTTTCTCTAATTATGCAGAAAGATGTTGATGGTCTTTAACTTTTACTAAAGGAACATACTAAATTGTTTTATACTTTTATTATCTTAATCTCTGGAGGTTTATGTTTACAGTATATCCTAGTATTTATATTCTTTGAAAATTTCTTCAGGATATTGAACTGTCAAAGGAAATCAACGAGTCATTCAGACAATCTTCTCAGGCCAGAACAAAATTGCCATCGGGAATTGAAATGAGTGTCCACGTTTTAACAACCGGGTATGTACTCTGTATCAAATTCATCTAGGAATATACCGGATAGAACAACATATTTATAAAAGCTTGTTAACCTTCCATGTCTGATGCAGGTACTGGCCAACATATCCACCAATGGATGTTAAACTTCCTCATGAATTGAATGTCTATCAGGTTTTACCAGAAGTTCCAATATTTGTTTCTGCTATGGTTTTTATATTGTTACAAAGTTTTTTCTTCTTATTTATCTGTTGGTTGTTTCGTAGGATATCTTCAAAGAGTTTTATTTGAGCAAGTACAGTGGTAGGAGGCTAATGTGGCAAAACTCATTAGGCCACTGTGTTTTGAAGGCACATTTCTCCAAAGGTAAAAAGGAGCTTGCTGTTTCCCTGTTTCAGGTCAGTCCAATTTTCTCTTTTTTTTTCTTCAAGCTTTTCATGTCATTCGTTTTGACTTATATTTTGTCTTCCCCGAGGTAACACCATTGCTTAGAAGATGTGGTTTCTTTCATTGTCTCAGGCTGTTGTGTTGATGTTATTTAACGATGCAATGAAACTGAGCTTTGAGGACATTAAAGATTCCACTGGCATAGAGGATAAGGAACTGAGAAGGACTCTTCAGTCGCTTGCTTGTGGGAAAGTTCGTGTCCTGCAGAAGGTTAGTCTAAAAATATTGATTGTGTTAGCTTACCTTTCTACTAATGCAGAAACTAGTGAGATCGTGGCTTTGTTTTTTTTCCTTCATATTTTCTTATGTACAATATATTTGCAGTATCCAAAGGGAAGAGATGTGCAAGACGGGGATGAATTTGATTTTAATGACACCTTTACTGCTCCTCTGTATCGCATTAAGGTACATGAATTTTTGGTTGCTTCACTTGAAAGTTTTCTAAAATCTCGCAAATTTTTCATTATTATTATTTTTCTGGGTGTAGGTGAATGCAATCCAGATGAAAGAGACAGTAGAAGAGAACACGAGTACAACCGAGAGAGTGTTCCAGGACCGACAATACCAGGTTTGTTTAAGATACTGTTTTTCTTAGAACGAGAGAAGATTTGTGAAAGTGACTTTTCCCTCATCACACTCGTGCTCTTACAGATTGATGCAGCCATTGTACGAATTATGAAGACGAGAAAAGTCCTGAGCCATACTCTTCTAATCACTGAGCTCTTCCAACAGGTAAACTTTCTTCCTCTCTTTCTTGATGATATCAAAAGTCTTAAGCTAACTCTTCTATAGTCTTTGACCATTGTTGCTATGATGATGAGAGTTCTTAGTACCGATTGTTAAATGTAATAATAATATACAATGCAATGTTTGGATTGTGTTTTGTGATATTGCAGCTGAAGTTCCCAATAAAACCGGCTGATCTGAAGAAGAGGATAGAAAGCCTGATCGATCGAGAATACTTGGAGAGGGACAAGACCAACCCTCAGATATATAATTATCTTGCTTAGTCATAATAATCTCCTTGCTAAACCTCTTTTCAACTTTTTTTTTCATATCTTCTCTGTATTACTGTATATTTTATTCACAAAGACAATGGCCGACATTCTGCTTCAATTTAAAGAAAAAAGAGACTCCAAAGTTCCTATCATCTTCCTCGCCTGATTTTATTTAACAGCGCCAACTTGGTTCTTTTTAGTCTTCGTTCACTGAGACTAGTTTCAGGTTGCAGTTTGTTGTTTATTTTGCTGTTATGAACGTCGTGCAACCAGTTTTAAATCGTTATTTGGAGTCGTTAAAAATTAGTAACTAGAATTAAAACTTTCAGTGATCTTATCTATGATTGACTGGTTGCTGAAACAAATCACAAGATTTTGCGACAGAGAGACTAACAGTATTTAGAGTCTGACCCGTGACCAAAGAACGAAAAAGAATAATGTACATTCTTATTCTTCCTAATTTATTTTACCATTCGTAAAAAATAGTTTTTCCTTTATATTTCTTGTCATTCCTTATATTCTAAAAGAATATAAAACAAATTTGTTCCTCACCAAATTGATAAGGAATAGTTTTTCTTTTCATTCTTATAATTTTACTAGGTGATTTTCCCGTGCTCATGCACGGGTATAAATATTTATTAAGTATATATACTATCATAATTGATTACTATTTACTTTTAATTTTCAATTAATTTATAATTTGCATACATGATTTATATTAATAATATTATTTTACTTTAATTAGACATATTATTTTAGAAATATTACATCTAGTCAATTTTATTATTTTATAGTCGATTTTACTGTTATTATTTGGGTATATTAGATTACATTCTTTTATCTGAATTCAACTATAATATTTTTTATTCTAAATATATTAAATTTTGATTAATTCTATAATTTACTTTTAGGTTGTTTGCTGTCTCAGATGTCAATATATTTTAGAAAAGTTATTTATAACTTTAGATATATTATGCCTATAATGAAATATAAAATAATTTTGATTTCAAATTACACCAATAGATATAAAGATAATCTTTGAAGTCTCATGCATATATATAAATTTCACAAAATAAATCAAATTAAAGTAATATTATTTATCATTTAAATGTGCACGTATTTTTATAATATTTATCAAGTTATATGTTTCTTTAAAATATAGTAGAAAATAAAGCAATAATCAGTAAGAAGTTACATACTTAAGTAACTCATATATTTTTGGAGATTCATGAACACATATCAAAATTCTAAATAATTTTATATCTTAGATTTATTGAATGATAAACTTAAATTATTTTAAATAATCTTAAAAATGAGAATTCGGATTTGCTTTGGTATTTTTATTATGGTTATATTAAGTTACACAAACATAAAATTTAAAAAAAAATTAAAATTAAGAAACATATAATTTAAATAATGATTGAATATAACATATCTATGTCATAAAAGTATATAGTGGTATGATATTTTAAAATATTTTGTAATTATTTGATTAAAAGATGTTTATTGTTAAAAAATATTTTAATTTCTCTTAAAAATAAGCAGTAAAAATTGTGGTTGTATTTGAGAAATCATATTATATAAGTAAAATTTAATTTATAGATTTTTTTTTTTTGCTTTAGTTGAAAGATACTATAGTCAACTAAATATATGAAAATAAATAAAATATTCAATAATTTTAATTAAAAACTATTTTAGTTAATAAAAACATATACTTGTTTATGTTACTTAAAATTATGTTTAAAAGTAAATTTTTTTTTCCAAATATCAAAATTATATGTGTGAATTTTTTGTTATGAAATCACATTTTATAAAAATATATATTTTCATATAAGAAAATACAGATATAAAGAAAGTATTTTATTAATTAAAAAGTACATTTTATGTTATTTAAAATATTTTTAATGGATGTTACTAGTTTCTTAATTTTCCCTTTTAATGAAATCATATTATATAAC